CTCACCCGCAGGCCCAAACCCAAAGAAAGACCAAGAAGCCCAAAACGTGGTGGTGGCACCTTAAAGACAAGCTGCTCTGCGTTAAGGTGAGCTCTCCTGGACCACGTCCACTTCCTCAGACCCTAACGGAGCAATACAGATACTGTACGTGTTCCCGCTTTCCCCCTCCCTCCCCTCAGGCTCCCGGCTGCCAGGGTGCACTTCCACGGTTGCAGCTGAAGGCGAGGGGCTGGAAGGGCTCCCCCAACCAGCCCATCCCGAGGGTGCAGCCCAGCGGCTTCCCGCCACCCCTTCTCTGGGGGGACTGAAACCTGTGAAACAGGCAGGTTCAGGGCAGAGCCGATACGGGCCATCACCCAGCCCAAGCCAGCCGTTCTTCCTCGTCCCCCCATCATCCACTCAGTCTCCCATGAACCAAGCTTCATGGATCCACCAGGAGCAGAACCTCAAGGGCCAGAGCCCTGGTTACGTCCTCATTGGCCTGGCCCAGGTTTCTCCACCTGGAGGCCCCATGTTCCGCACCCGCACAGGCTGTTGTGTTGGGACGGTGAAGTCACCGCAGTCCACAGGGAGCCCCGTCTCCATCGCTGGAAAGCCCCTCTACCTCCAGGCTCAGGTGAACGCTGGACCCAAGAGGCGGACTGGGATGGCTGGCCTGCATATTGCCCACCTGCTGCCGCTTAGCCTTTCGACTGCCGACTGGGGTCCTCTCACAAACCCAGGGCACCTGCTGCCGCTTAGCCTTTCGACTGCCAGCTGGGGTCCTCTCACAGTGAGACTGAGATCAGCAAGGACACACAGCACCCAACCAAACCACTGAGCTCTCCAACCAGCTAAATTAACGAATCCTAATTTGAATGTCTCACATCAACATCATCTTAGACACGCAGAGCTGGAAAGGGGGAACCATATGGATCAATGGGGTCCAGCCCTCGTCAAGGAAGCCCCGGTAGGGGGATCGAACTCCCAACCTCTGGCTTCGCAGCCAGAGACCTCAGCCAGTGAGCTATCCAACGTAGGGCACCTCAGGATTCATCACACGGAGCCTTCCTAGCCTAGTGAGTCAGTCTGTGAGTTAAGAAATTCAACGCCTACACGGTGGTCTCTCTAGGGTTCTCACTCCCTGGCTCACGGAGCGGACCATATTCATGATTTAGGCTTTGCCCCGTCTCCCGAGACAGGTGATATCTGGGGTGGGGAGATGACCTCAAGTCTCGTCCTTCTCGTCATGATCAGACCATGCCATGGCGGAGTTTGGACTTGTAGTGCCAGTTTCCCTTGCGGGACTCAAGGTCCAAATCAGGTCATCTGCCTCTGGAAACAATTGGGATCATCTGGTGCATTTCATTCTCAGTACTCAGGGTTTTTTTTCTGGTGGATGGAGCTAAGAACACATTCATCATCATTATTTGCTGTCTAGGGAATGCTAAGTTAGTGGCAACCCTTTTCAGGAAGTTCTAGATACACCTACCCGGGTAGGTGGGGCTCCTTTAGCCTTGGAAGGCAGCCCATCTAGGAGAAGGAAAACTCTGATTTCAAACCTCCACTGCCTTGTGGCTATATCCACTGATGGAAAAGGCTTCAGGAGTTAACCTCGAGGCAAAATCCGGAGCCGGAGTCTCGGAGGCAGTTCGTGTCATTCTGGCAACTCCTGCGACGTCGCGGAACCAGTTGTATTGGCTCTTGCCTTTCCATTGGAACATTTCAGTGACATGGAGAGGGGGGATTTGCTGGTTGGGTAACAGCCTATCCTCCATATTATTTTATCCAGGCTTTGTGCTCTGGAGAGGACAGCTTCTCATACAGCATCAAAATAACACGGGAAGTAGCAGTTACCGGTTATAAGTCTCTGCTCAATTGGCATAGCGCTTGATCCCAGGGGCTACTTCCAATGGTGGGAGAGCTCATTGCACTTCACTAGGTAGCTACCGCCTGCCTTAAGCTGGACAGTCCCCAGCCAGTAAGGTGCTTCCTCGCCACGGTCTGTTAACCTCATGGGGTGCATGGGGTTTATGGTGAAAGCCGATAAGCAGATCAATAACCCTGCACCATGCAATAGATCTCCTGGATGGAGAATTAATACAGTACAGGGAAATCGCCCCAGAGGGAGACCACAGCTGCGATACAAGGAGATCTGCAAGTGGGATCTGAAGGCCTTAGGAATGGACCTCAACAGATGGGAAACTTTGATGTCTGAGTGTTCAGCCTGGAGGCAGGCGTTGCATCACGGCCTCTCCCAATTTGAAGAGACCCTTGTCCAGCAGGCTGAGGCCAAAAGGCAGTCCCCAAAGCAGCGAAATCAGGGAGCTGGACAGGGGACAGACTGGATTTGTCTTCAGTGTGGAAGGGATGGTCACTCCCGAATTGGTCTTCTCAGCCACACTAGACGCTGTTCCAAGTTCTCTAAACAGAGTGAGCGAGCAGGCAGGCAGGCAGGAATTCATCCTCTCAGGGCCACGAGGGTTGCAGGTGATTCAAAAGGGTTGCCACAAGTAGGAATCAACTTTGTGCAGGATGAGAGCCACTTTTAATGCATTAAATGGGAGAAGCCCATCTATATGTCCCAGTGCAGAAAGGCTCTTTAAACAAAATGTCGATGCACCTTCCTTGAGAGCCGGTGAGCTCCCGGATGCCTGCTGAATCCTGCTCTCCAGGTTTTGATGCTGTTGCTGCCCAGGAGACATGGAAATTTCTCTCTCTCTCTCTCTTTCTCTCTCTCTCTGTGTCCAGCCTTCTTTCCTCCCCCCGCGCCCCCCCCACAGGCATTGACTAGGGAGCTTCTGAGAACCAAGGAAAGCTGAAACTATATTTTAAGACGATCAATGAATTAGTAACTGACAGTACATTCGGAGGGAGACCAGGCCTCGGGAGAACTCGACTCTGAAACGTGTTCACACGTGTTCAGGTAACTAGATAAACATTCACAGATAATTCTTAGCAGAGAAGAACCGCAGGCCTCAGAGAACGGAGGGCCAGGAAGACAAGACATAGACATAGCAAGAGATAAAGGGAAATAGATACTCTATTCTATCCCCCAGACTTTGAGGCACATCATCCCGGAGGCGGGTTAAGCAAAGTTGGTGTACAAATGACCCACAGAATTGTGGTA